TATCATTACGTATTAGAGGGGGATACCAATGGCCGAAGGCCACGTGTGTGGGGGCATAATCCCCAGAAAATGTTTGAAATTTGAAACCCGGAAATGCTATTTCCTGCATTCTGAGCATCCAAAAAATAAAAAAAATATTAACAATAATTTATCATTACTTTATTATATAGTGGTAGAAAAACGTAACAATTTAAATCGATTTTGTTAAACAAGGATAAAGCCTAAAACTTACTTTCCGTTTATCTATTTGTTATTCTCCACTGGTTTGTTTGCATAATTTTAGGAAAAAGGGACTTTTCCTGGGGGGGGGAAATGCGATTTCGTGGGGGGGGGGGCAGAAAGGGGGACTGGGGGGAGGCATTTCCCCGCCCAGCTTGTATGTTAAGAAGATATAAATTGAGTTTTTAAAATTGATAAAAATTGAGTTTTTAAAATTACATTTAATGATAATTTAATAATTTGGTGTGTGTGAGCTGAATTGTACAGGTTTTACATAATATCAATATTGTTATATACTATTTATGTACGATATGTTATGTAATTGTTAAAAATACAGTCAGTGTACAAGAATTCAGATATGTCACAAAGAATTATTAATAATAAATTTACACTAATACTTGAAGAGGTAAAATATTTGCCAAATATATAGAGCTGTTTTACAATTCGGTAAAGTAATATGTTGTTCACCGCGTAGTCTATGTACTGTATGTACGAATACGTCTACTTGGAATAACTTCATTTCACTTATGTTCTGGTTTGAGCAGTTTCTTTTCTGTTTTCTGGCAAATCTAATTCCGTCTCTGAGAAAGAGGCACTATGTTGGCGGCGTTCAGAGCTGCCATATATGACAAATGGACGTATTATCAGCAAAGCTCTCTTTTGAATTCTTTTGATTTTTTCTTTTAAATAGTCAGGGCCCCTAAATTTGAAAATGTGGCATCGATATTCAAGCACCGGTCGAATACATTTGGAATAAACTTTAATTAAAGAGCATTGACTTAGACCACTACGTTTTAACACTCGAAGAGAAAAAAGTCTTTGTCATGCTTTATAGAATTGAACTATATGTTCAATATATGTAAGTTCCTTGTAAGGTCAGATGTACAGTAGGATACATTGCTAAGATTTTTGCTGATGAAACGGGGGACATACAACATTCCCCTATAAACAATGGCTGAATTGCTGAAGATCAGGTTTACCTTTAGTAAATGAAATGATTAGTTCTTTGCATTTAGAGTGGTTTAGTACCATATTATATTATTGTCAGTACACCATTGATTAATTTCGCTGAGAAGTGACTGTAAAATACCTTAATTGACTGTCCTTTTCAATAATTTCAGACAAACTAGTGTCATCGACGTATTTCCACCTCTCTTCATGTTTGATAGCTAAGTCATTCACCGTAATAAGAAAGAAAAGTAGTCCGAGGATTGTACCTTGGGGAACGCCTCCATTTATAAAGCACCAATGAGACAAAACCACTCCCAGTTTTACTCCCTATCTTCTTGGCATAAACCAGTTTAAATAGTAAAAGGCTGCCTAACTTAAGAACTTTTGTACACTTATGTATAACTTTTTTATTATTATGTTGCTTGTTATTTAGCTGGCTGCAGGATTAGAAAAAGCTAGAGGTGTCGTTTCCTTATTTGTATGGGATATTTCATCAAACACAAGTAAGTAATTTCATGTGTGCGGATCTCCAAGGCGCTATGTTTCTGCTGTCATATCATATCTGCTTGTTGTTGCCAGTCAAGAATACATGCATATAGTAACGCAAAAAAATCACAACACACTGTTTGTCCCAACTAACTTCGATTGAGCCATTTATAAATAAGATAATCAGAAGTGCTTTAACCTTTGTAACATTTGCTATGTTGTAGATGTTGGTGCGTCTTCTGGATCACATGAAAAACAAAGGTACAAGTCAGAACCTGGATAACAATTTTGGGTCACTGTGTAGATTAACACAGACTCAATCATGTTTTCGCTCGCTGCTCTGGTTTCAATAAATGAATGCAAAACCATTGCATTCACGACCCAACGCTTCGACACGCCAGGCTAGTGTCTTCATCAGGGGTGACCAGCAGTCGCAACACGGCTTCTTACTGTATATATATATATATATATATATATATATATATATATATATATATATATATATATATATATATATATATATATATATATATATATATATATATATATATATATATATATATATATATTATAATAGAAAGACATATAGTAGGAATTTTCTCTATTGAAACGTGGGCAAACTATGTTTATTGAGCCATAAGGACTTACGCCCGTATTCTAAAAGCTCACACACACTCAATGAGTGGAGGTTCTATCTGAGCTTTAGCCCGCGTGCAGGCCCAAGGGAGCAGGCTGAAGGGAACTTGATAGTGGGCCTGCAAGCAAGGCCCGGTATTTTGTACTTTCCGCGTTCGCCCACGAACGCGGCATTCTGATTGGCTGTTTGCTGTTGGATTCTATAATTAGGTCAGTGATTCATCACAAAGGCTCTCGATATTCTCTCGATAAGCTTAAAATTCGCAAATTGATCACTTTTTTCGATTACAAATGGAACAAGAACAGACTGTTTATTGTTTACTTGAAGGAAGAGATGTTTTTGCCGTTATGCCAATGAGGATTGCTTGTCGTGAGGTGTTGGAATAACAACATTTAATACGAATGGGGTATAAAACTATAGTAACCTTTACTTTAGTTTCATTAATTTCAAACGACTTGATACGTTATATGTTCCTCAAGAAAATTATCTTTTGGTTGATGTTGAGATGCAGTTGCATGTAAGCCTATTCAAAATACTTTGCGATTTACAAGGCTTCGCTGAGAGAGCAAAAGAGAAGACGGTATTAAATTGCCGTTTGAAACGAAACGATCTGGACTCTGAACGCTCTCTTCTTTTGTAGAGTTCTCACCAAATGAAATAACTCAAATAAATTTCGTACTTTCCGCCGCCAACAAGAATTGCACACACGATCTGATAAGTGAGACAATTTATTTATAACATTGGCGACAGCGAAGCAACATTATAAATGCTGATGTGGTCGCACGACTTCCCTCACGATTTGAAGTTTGAGACTGGTTTTCTGTTGAAATTCGTCTTAATTTGCCTGTCCCGATTTTAGTTGAAAATGAGCACTTGTAAATTTGGCAATTACTGACTGCGTTGCTTGTTTTTTTGGAGTTTTAACACAGGCATTTACACATTGTTTCTATTTTGAATATAAAGCAGAGAAAACCCCGCAACATTTTAATGCGAGTTTGTTTGTTAATATTTGGGTTGCTGTCATTGGTTCTTTTTTGACAATTGACGCGCGAATGGGGCGTGTTATGAAAAGGGGCGTTTTACAAAATACCGGGCCTTGCTTGCAGGCCCACTATCAGTTCCCTTGGGCCTGCACGCGGGCTATCTGAGCTTCTTTCGAGTGTCAATCACTGAGCTGTATAATAACTGGAGGACCTGCTCCTATACTTCGTTCAGTCAACGAAGTGTCGCCAAAAACATGGCGGATTTTGAGTGAAAATGACGCCATTTCCATGACAACACTTCCGAAATTCTCATGGTAGGTACCACTGACCAGGCTCAATTCTGAGCCCACGGCCGTTTTCACACCCCCCTGGTTTTTGCAAAAAAATTTTTCAGATATTATAGTTCTCGTGGTTTTGAATCGGTTTTTAAATTTTTTTCGATATAAATTTTCTACCTTTGATTATTTGGACAAAGATATGCAAGTCGTACATGTTATTCTCGCCCGTGAAAGACGACAAACAAATTTAAAACCTTAAGAAATGTGGGAAAAGACGAGACTTGAATATGGATTTTATACAAAGGGTAAGAGACAAATTTTCATTTGAATTTTTTAATATTTAGACTTTACCTTATTTGACATGAAAATGATAAGCATAACGATGAAACTGACACTCTATTTGTTAATAAAACAGTTTCCTATGCAATACACATGCGGTAAAGAGTAAAATTTTCCACTATTTTACTAATTTTAGCAAGCTGTGATTCACAATCGCAAAATATTTGGTTACAAACTACGAAGCTTTGATCGATATTCAGTCACATATACGAGGATTACGACGGTCTTTAAAGTGCGAACTGTCTGGTGTAATAATGTTTAAAACAGTTGACTCCTGAGGTCTCGTTTTATAAACAGACATAAACCTCATTTCCAGGATGGCCTGTTTTCTTACAAGTTTTCTCAGTGAATATCACTCTGAATGA